GTATCCATTTATTTTTTCCTGTGGTAGGTCATTATCAACATACACTTCGTAATTTTTATACATGAAGTAAATCTATCAATTTTGAGCTTTATTTTCTGATAAATCCAGCCCGCGACATAATACGACACTGTCAGGACTTGAAGTTTTGCTGTCATCGTGCTGCAATATATTTGGTGGTGGTGGTTTGCCTTATAGAGTGATAACAACTGTAGAACCATGGAGTATATGAGAACATTAGACAGCTGTTTTATTTTAGTTTGGAACTTTTGGTAAGTGTATATCGATGCATGGGATGTAGATAAAATACACGATCCTCATGACATATAGTAAGTGCATTATTAATCAAACACTAAGATGTAATTCAACGGTTTACTCTTTTCTACATCAGACAGTTCACAAAATACTACAGCGATCAATAATCTATTTTCTTTCATTGAAGTAAATCATAATTTTAGTCATCAATAAAAGATGTACCACTGGAACTGAATGAATTTGGTTGAATAAAATGATATACAAAACACGTTGATTTCTGAATACTAAGCTATCGAAATGAATTGTACGGTTTTATTAATGATAACCATACATAGCATTCTTAAGAAAATAGGGAAAAATTCACATTATGAAATGTCAGCGTGAACAACGATCCAATCAAGAATTTTCTGTCAAATTGAATGAAACTTCTCATATCATGGTGAAAATAATAAACTTCATTAATAGTCAGTATAACTTGAATTGTTTATGAAACGAGAGAATTTATACTTTATCTCGTAAACCTATTCTAATTTTGAAAATTGGATTGAATTGAGTATACAAAGGTTAAGCGAGAAGATTAACGTCAATTGAAATTCCCCTCTGACCCTGCTTAATTATGACAGATTTTTCATTTACTAAGATAAATCTGACATCTGCAGTTTACTGATAGAAATCTAAGATTTATTACTGTGAATTCGAAACTATTTATTGAGTTGACAAAAACAAAAGTTTCATTTTTGTTATTGGCAGTGGAATATTTTAGCCTATTATTATTATTATCACTAATGCTTTGGGTTCCCATTGAAATATAGGGCTTCAGTAACACGTCACTATTTCACTCTCTTCTCTCCAGTCTCTTCAACCTGATCCCACATCTGCTCACCAGCTTCATTTCTTCCTCACACCATATCCTCCATATCACCCTAGACTCGGACACCCAACCCATCGTTTCCCAGTCGGGCTCCACTCAACTGCCTGACCTGATGCGTGATAACACCAAACCGTCTTCTCAGTCCATGTCAATTTCAATCCTTCTCGTCTCCACTCACTTCTTCTGCATATTGGTTGGGCGACAGCTTCGCGGTTGGTTGGTTGGTTCGTTGTGGGTCCAGCTAGGGTTCCTTCTTGCTTATTCTAATTATTCTGGTCATCTGGTCTCCATGTTCAGTACCGAGTGAGTGTAGGCTGCAGCTGTTGATGTATGATGTCTGAAGTTTGTTTGAAATGCTTTTCGTGAGGTGCTGTGTCTGTCAACCACTATCACATAGAAGCACTGACTTCGTTGACTGAATTAGTGTTGAAAATGCGGATATTGTTCACGCCTTTTGCTGAGTGCAGTGGAGTGTATTGGAGTGCAGTAGATCTGCAGTAGATCTGCACACTGATTTCAGAATAATGAAGGAGGGTCTGTGTTGTTGTCTTTCTGAATCTGGCTTTGACATCTTCATATGTGCCTGTGCTGCCTGTAGTTGAGGTGATGCTGTGTAGGTAGGTGTGTAGGTGAAAGCGACAACTTCTATCAGATTTCTCCCACTGATGGTAATTGGTGCTTGTTAAAGCTATATACTTCACGGTAATATTTACCTGTCAAATTATAAGCGTAGCAAAACAGCACATTATGAATGAATTCTCTTCTAGTCAACTTGGATTATATTGCTAGACAACCAATAAAGAGAATGTAACGCACTGAATGCGAATTCCAGAGGAGAACTCATGTTAAATAACAGTTCTATTTTGTATTATTCCGTCGGCTGTGATCATGTCGCTATCCTGCACAGTCTTTTTTTAAAACCTTGTGTAAAGTCAAGTGGCTCTAAGTTAATTCGGAATCGTCACTTATGTATAGAATATGCATTGGTGATCCAACATTTAAAGCTTTAGCTTTGTATACAGGAAAGGTACGGTGATCTCTATTATTTTGTTATGATCATATTCTTTTCTTAACTTTTCTTTACTGTTTCGATATTCATCCTACTCTTACTGACTGATTATCATTATTTCCTACTTTTATTTTTCAAAATAATAATAGGTTAGCTCCAATTTCCCAATCAAATTTTTGTAAAACTTTACTCCAGTTATTGATCACAACTTGTACAATTAGTTTTTTAGTTACTAATGTACCTCCACCCCAGTGAGGAGTGATGTTGTTCCCACTGGGGCTGAAAGACACTACCCAGAACGTTATCCACTAAGGCACTGAGGCATGATAGCAACCTCTTTGTGCAACAGATGCCGAGAAATTCAATCTTGTATAACAAGGGAAAATCAAAAGTATCATTACAACATTTGGTACCTTTTGCACAAGAGGTAGCTATTAAGTCCTAGTAGCTTAGTGGATAACGCTCTGGTGTTTCAAGCTAAGGGTACTGGCTTCAAGCCTCAATCAGAACAACACCACTCGGCACTGTGGTGCAGGTACATACAGCTGATGAGTCCCGAATAGGACAAAATGCGCTTTCTGCATTCCTCTGCTAGTCGCCAATATCAACATGAATACTCAGCAGTATCGAAGCAGCTACATGTAAGCCAATCTGCTAACAGAGTTTGAATAATTCATCACTGTATAGTCATTGCAAAACTATTTAGGGATTTTCGAATTAAGTAATATTCTCATTTAAATGGATGTGCAATTCTTTTCTCGGACAACAGAAGAGAAGCCATGTGGATCAAGTATACTATCGTCTATTTTCGATATGACTTATCACTAACTTTATTCAAAGGATTATTCCCGTATAGTTTCATACACTTTATTTTACGTTCTGTTAAACATGAAGTGTATTATCCAAGGGTATTCAGTACTGAGGATTGTTTACGTCTAAATACTCTCAATAAAAAAATATAGAATGGAATTTTGAGGGAGTTGTGGGGGGTTTGAAAATATTTCAATTGTTATTCATCGTAGACTGACATCAGTTGGGGGAACAAAGGAAATCTGGGAGCCTGGTGGTTGTGAGGACAGTTACTTAACGATGACACTGGGTGGTGGTTGAGCAATATCGTGAGCTAACAGAAGTTGGAGATATGGACCATTGGATTCTGACCCAGTGGCTCAATGGTAACGTGCTGGCCACGGAACCTGAAGGTCGCCGGCGGTGTCGTGGGTGTACACTGCTGAGAAGTCCCGTACTGGGATGAAACAGCTGTCCAGTGCTCCCAGGTTTTCTTTGTTCCTCCAACTGATGTCAGTCTACGATGAATAACAAGCTGAGATATAGAATGAACAAAAGTCATATAAAACATAAAGACAACAATTTGTAGAGTTTTATTAAATTGGATATTATATGTAAAAAAATCTAGATACACATTGAAAGTTTTTCTCAAGTATATTCTTCTCTTAAAATCTGGCTTATAGAATGCTATGTTATCGAAAAATTTTATTTGTAATGATTGTATTTTGTATATTCGCTCTCTTATATCCTGAAGTTAAATATATTCAACATAATATATCATCATTTATCTTAAGAACACTGGTGATAATAAATAATAATAGAAGTTGGAAACAATCATATTTCGGGGTAATAGTGATCAAAAAACATGAAAAAAATGAAGATAAATATTTTATAAGCAATCAGAGGGGAAAATGAACAGATTAGCATAATGTCCAGACGCTTAAAATATACTATATATATATATATATATATATATATATATATATATATATATATATATACATATATATATATATATTATAGTAGTGTAAATGTGGATAAGAGAATAGGAGTTGAATAGATGATGAATTTTAAGAAATTACACTATATTATCTGATAAACTTTGTAAATCTACTGCAATATTCAGATTTCTAAACTGTACGCAATAGTTTATTCTCGTATTGTCCAAATATTGATCAAGGATTGAAATAGTTGGAAAACAAAATTATCTTTTAATTTCATTCTTTATGCTACTCCTATTGTTTTATGATTAGGGATTAATGATACGTTGTTCCTCTAGACATATAATTTCTTCTACATTGTGTGAATATGTCTCAAGATACATAGAAACTTAATTGTTTACAAATATTTCAGATTAATAGCAAGTGAATCGAGCTAGTTAATCATAGAAGACTGACTGTTTTAGTGTCAAGATAAATAGGAAAATAGAATGAATTTTAGTCAAAACATGCCCCATATGAAATAAGAATTCTGTATGCTTTGAAAAAAAAAGAGAGAAAATTAAAAAGATTATACATAGAAGTCGACTGTGTTTAGGGTAAATGAAGTAAAATATCAACTAAATACACACTAATTTATACAGAGAATATTTTCAAGCAAAATATATTAGTCATTATGTTTATATATATAAGTACACGTCAAATGGACGTTCATTTATATTGTCCTGATATTCCTATGCGAAACAAGATAAGTTGTTGGAATGAATGAATGAATGAATGAATATCAAACAAAATGAGTTATATTATGAATAATTCTTCTTTTCAGTTTTAGTACTATCAATAGTGATAGCATATGAGATAAGACTGTAAACATCAACAGAAAAGATTTTTTTTAAAAATGACATGAATACAGCATAAATATGCTAACATGGATTCATTTTACTCAGTTATAAATGAAGCTATTACAAGTAGATATTAGACTAGAAACATTAAAAGAAAGACTGATGTAGAAAAAAGAGTCAAGATATTTTCTTCATAAGCATATAGTTAAGAAGTTATCTGAGGTAGTTGAAGAATTTAGCAGACAAGAAATAAAGCTCACTACACTATTACAATCAGTAGTAACAGTTTGAATATTTTTTGAGTATGCAGACAGGCAGAAACTGGTAGAAGGGTTGTACTTCGGGCAACAACGTATATATATATATATATATATATATATATATATATATATAGCTGAAACACCTTACGAAATATATCACGGGGATCCATACACCAATTTCAGATAAGACCATCATTATCTTCTTTACGGGAATGAAGAATATTTCAAAATAACATTTTGTTTTGTATTCCAATGCAATTAAAAATTTCATTTCACAACCAATGTATAAATATGTATTGATAAAGATACTTTACAATACTTCTAAATGATTAGAAGATAATTTTGTATCTTTTCACTGGACCTATGTTGACAACAGTGTGTCTGTAAAGAAAAGTAAAAAAAGGTGAAATAATGTCAAAAGTTATACGTTCAACAAAATTATATACAGAAAATATAACCATTTGGATTGATTTTCAAAAAGGATTATTTAACATACTACTGCATTCCACTTTTATGATCGTATATTCCACAAGAAAACAAAAATACTGCTTAACATGTTGATAAAGAGTTTATAGGACATTCAAAAAACCATGTTTACTGCGGCTATGTATTAACAGCTTTTTGGCTTATATGACTAAATGAATTACTAACCAATGTAAAAAATCTTTTAATTTAGAGGTTTTGCTGGTTGATTTATTTCAGGTTGATATTCATAATGAATCAGTATTAATTGGAGAACCATTGAAAACCGGAAAGTAGCGGAAAGCTATTTTCTCTTACTATAAGACTCCAAAACAGTACTCATCCATGACTCCACAAGGGCTCAAACACCTGACATATCGGTCTAGTAGCGACATTTTTAACATTCAGCCACTGGGTCACAACCCATTGATCTTGTCAGCTGCTGATACACCTCGATCTCGATCTAATGCCGTCTCTGAATACCTGTCATCACGTTCGACTTGATTTGCGCCACCGGTTACAACTTTTCATTCTTGAAGAACGTTACTAATAACGCTCATAATATCTACCCTAATGATTTCATAGCCTATTAAACAGTATCCTCTAATTAGTTAAAACTGTCAGTTAGTATAATAAACTCTTCAGACAATTATGTATCATCATGTTAATCGAACTTATTAAACTTGGAATCATTCGACAATGAGTATATCTGTGTTTGACTAACACTTTACCGATGTAAGTACTTGCAGTCAATCGATAATTCACGATATAGTTTACAGTACATTATTATAAGCAATTTTCTTATACCATTTTTCAATGTGATAATAATTATCAGATATTTTGGTAGGTTGTAAAATATTTTATTGTTTCATGAATAGATTTTCATTTGAATATGTTTATCAGTCCAGAAAACGTATGTATTAACGTTCATACAGTAAAAAAGTAATCAAGGCAACTTAATCATCAGACACATTTGACAACATTCCTATGCATTTACTTATAATATTTCAGATATAAATCATGTTCCTTTTTTTTAACTGTGAAATAAAATCAAAAAGAAATTGATGACAGTATATGAATGAGACAAAATATAGACAGAATCTTGAGAAATGCTTAAAAAAGTACTCATTATAGTTTTTTTTAAAGGAAATTTATAGAGAAATACTGAAAAATGAAAAATAGCCTATCATCGTTTTTACTTTGACAAGTGAAGTATGCATACTATCTTTTAAAAAGAAAGTGTAGTTTAGATTCGATTTGTCAATTGTAGAACTAGCTAAAGTACAAAAATACAGATACTCAGTTACCCTTGTTCTGAACGAAAATGATATACATCAATAATGACTTAAGAAATGAATGTATAGGAACAATGATGAACAAAAGTTGTTTAAGTAAGTGAGTAAATGATATTATTTTATGATAAAGGTTACAATAGTTTAGTGAAACTTCTTTATTACCTCATAATATTATGCACGAACTAATATTTCTCATGTTATCCAACTTCAAGTAACGAAAAAGACAGTTTCAAGCAGAAAAAAAAGTGTAATTTCAATGATGTACTATAAATACCTTATTTACACTGTCGCTTATAGGTGTGCCTAGTAAGTTCATCACCTTATTGAAAGCTCTCTACTCGAACAGTTCTGGGCATGGCGAGTTGTCCAGAGAGCTATACTCATCAAGTGGCGTCCGTCAAGGACGCCCACTATCTCCATTCTTATTTAACTTTATCATAGATATATTTATGGAGGTTTCCCTCTCGTCACTTAACTATACAGACGTTGACCCAATCGGTGGAGAATTTTCGCTAGATCTAGAATGTGCAGATGACACTGACCTGTAAGGTTAAGACGCTGACAAGATGCAGAGTCTTCTGAACACATTGAGCGGCAATTTGAGAATGTTTGGGATGCGGTTTTCACCACCCAAATGCGAATTTTTGCTCCAGGACTAATTTTCAGCGGTACCCAGGCTAACAATAGAGAGGGAAGTGGTTGAGTGTGTCGACCACTTCACTTAACTCGGAAGTAGAATCAACCCTGGTACGTTAGTTGCCGATATCATCTCTGCACAGATACAAAAGGCTCTATTAGCTTTTGCTAATTTACGCCACCTATGGCGCCACCGTGATATCAGTTCGTCTATTAAGGGTAGCGTATACTGCACAGCACTCCACTCTGTTCTACTGTATGGATGTGAAACATGGCCATTGAGAGTAGAAGATAATAAGGCTTCAAGTGTTTAACCACCATTGCCTTCGTAGTATAGGATGTATTCCGTCGTCTCACCACGTCAGCAATGCAGAAGTCAGGAGTAGAGTTTTAGGTAGAAGAGGTGAGTCAGTTGATGAGATTGTGAACCTTCACCGACTGAGATGCCTGGCTGGGACACCTGTTACGTATGCCCAGTCACCGATTGCCTCATCACACAATGTTGGCTGAGGTGGGTCCAGTCTGGAAAGAGGCCCGAGGTGGTCAGACTAAAACATGGCACCAATGTATGAGGTCTCTGACCGTTGGTTTCAGCCATGCGTGGATATGCAGACTAGGTGGTTGGAGTCGGTGGGGGGACAAGAGGAACCAGTGGTTGGAGACTGACTCTAGGTGATATGGCTCACAACCGATGTCAGTGGCCCTGATGTATACACACATTATCCTCATCTTAACTACACGATGCCGAATCTCATCATTTTGTCACTCCTCTTTCCTTTCTTCTCGTACTTTATATTTCTCTTGACTGCATTCTCTTAACTTCATCCTTCACCTCACTACCTTTCTACTTGATGAACTGATATGAGGTGTGGCAACTCGGACCGTTCCGCAGTAATGCCTGGTCCTATACTGATATTGATTGATTGCTTATATTTTAAATGATCATATACTAGGCTTTCATTATCATTCCTTGCTAAAATGTGGTTCTCCTTCAATATTATCTGCTTCCAAGTGTCATATTCACGTCTTCAGGTGGGATAATTGAAACAGAATAATTCGGTGGTATCTTGTTAATTACTTGCAGCCTGAAACATGAAAATAAAGTTTTGTTGAATATTTAACATTTTTCAGTCCACTGAAAGAAAGCAGAATGCCGGTCAATAATTAAGACAGATGGAAATTGTTGCAGCGTAGTTGTAAAGCATAATGGCAAATCTGAGAAAAGTTAGTATTGTAATAATTATAAAGATAATGCGGTCAGACACGACATGCATGAGGTCCAAAATACTGAAAATTTTCCTTGGATTTACGGTTATACTGTACAACTAATCTATCACCATTTCAGTCTGTTATTCTTTTTCTTCCAGTGAATTAAAGTGTGTTAAATGTTCAATAATAAAATCTTTGTTTTGATATTCCAGTTTATGAACAGATATTTTTTTATATCTTGTTCAAGTTATTGCTAATGAGACCTATGCATTCGTAAAGTGAAGTTCGTGCATAAAAATTCCATGAACACAACTGAAAAGACAGACAAGCAGATAAAGTTAACGTAGAATCTCGTACACAAGTGGGTTGGTTCTATTTGCTACAATTCGCAGTTAGCGTTCATCAGTTAAGTGGACGAAGAAGTCGATATATATGAGGGAATGAATAGTTTGAAGATGAGTCAGTGTACAGATTTCAACTTTATAAGACGTCTGCACCACTGTGACCGATTTTCAGCCATGTCACCAAGCGTCTCCAACAACCTATTCTTATCGATTCAGGGAACTTGGTCATCTCCTTATAATGACTTAGACCAAAAGTCATGGACTTCATCGGTTGGTGCCACCTCTTGGTCTAGTTATCTGTAATCGTCCTCCAACCTAATCCAACCTATTCTAGTATGGCAAATCAAGGAAGGCAGTGGCTTGGAATGCACAACACATGTCAAAGTCACCTCAGTCACTGATAATTCACAACGCCACCAATTGACTTACCTGTCTTGCCTAGTACCTTTTATCTGACTTCTACATTCCTCAAATGGTGATTCCATCAAACGCAGATATCTGTGACCAAAACCTTGTAACTGCTTAATGTCTTCTATGTCTTCAACGGCCATATCTCACAGCCGTATAATAGGATAGAATAGACTACGGAGTAATATTCTCATCCTTTGAGAGATACTCAGATATCTTGCCAGTCGGAGTCAGAGACGACGCTCATTAGAAAATGCTAGACGAGCGTTTTGTATGTGCGCTGAAACTTCGTCACCAACCAACCTATTTGGTTAGCTTCAACTCCCCAAGTAAGTGAAGTTGTTGATTCACTCCACAAATTCACTTCTACATCACTTAAATCAGAGTAGTTGCAGACCAGTCTTCGAGCTTCATCTTACATCTGATAGGTGCCAGACACATACGAAACACACTCAGATTTAGGCTGAATGTTTTTAGAAAATCCTGCATTTTCTCATCATCATCATCATCATCACTCCAAATCAACCAGATAACTTCGATGTAGGTGAGTAGATTAATGTCTGTGAAAAATCTTCACTATAGCATGTTAGAATAATGACTTAATATGAATATTTTCTATAGGTTACTAACTTGTTATGATGATAAATCTGTTCGTAACCTCATGATAGCCACATATTACACAAAACCATTTTGATATGTCTCAAGAAACAAGTACAGAATATTAATTTGATCAATCACATTCATGTACAGTGGATTTTATGAACTCAAATAATCATGTATCCAATCAAATGTATATATTTGACTTGATTTATTTTGAAACAATTAGTCCCTTTAATAAATTTCGATAACACTATCAAAAGATGAAGTTGGAAGATGGATCTATAAGACGATCAATAAATAGGAAGTCTACTTGGACAGGACAGTATTTGAATTTCCATAGTTTTTGTCCGATGAAATATAAGAGAGGCTTGGTAAGATGCTTAAGATGTTCAATAGAATCCAAAGTATTTGTACATCTGATACGATG